TTTTCCTTTTACAAAACAAGGGAACCCACATTTTCCTTCCTCATTCTCGTCTCCTTTTGCTTTCCTCTCACCAATCCTTACCAATCTGCTCCTATTTCCATTTTCTCTATAACTTTTCTTATAAGGAAACAAACAGAGCAAAACTATTTTTCAATTGTGGTTTTCCTTGAAAATCTGTTTGCAAATCCTGGAATGACGGTTCGACCCCGTCCTTGGCCTCGGAGAGTAGCGAGCAGCACGGAACTCGCATCGAGACGTCCTTGCCATAGAATTTTCTATGTCCTAACCCTTTCACTGGCCTTTATGATAAGCCAGTCCGGAAGGAAGGAGGAAGGGGCGCTCAACAAGTCATGGATAGCTACCCGGCCACAAAGAAGACGGTTTCAAAGCTCAAATAGCATATTTTTGAGGCAGATCCTAAGCCGACGTTAATAGCAGGTCTAATTCCGCGATCCGGATAGAGATAAGGACAGGGATCCATCTAGATAAAATATTGAACCGGTTTCATTTTTTTTTTCTTTATTCTGGTTGATTGCCTTTTTTTTGACGCAATTTTCATTGAATTTGCTTTACATCAAACCAAATGGTGCCTTAGAATTGCATCTTTCACCTTCTTTTGAGTAATCTTCTGCTTCAAAATCAGGTTTAGTCTTCAATCTTTTCTGAAACTCCTGTTTATACACCATGCTTACTTGCTTAGTAGAAAATGTCAGGCTAGTGCGAGATCATATATTTGAAACTTAATAATTGCTTATGAGATGGCCGGTTTGTTATCTTTGAGGACACAATGGCAGTTATGGCACAATGCTGTGGTGCTACTTATGCTAGTTTTTATTTGTCAAACCATTTTCAGTTCCATCTCATTTGACCTAATTGGGCTTTCAGTAGAGGGCTACTGAAGGAGGAAAGTGACATGGTAGAAATTTATTATTCCAAGTCTGCTCTAACAGACTGCAGTTTAGTGATTTTCTACAAAGCTAACCAATCTAGTCTAGGAATACATGACATAGCTTAATCTAAAAAATTTCCTCTTTTCTTTCTTCCTGTTAATTTCAGCAAACAAGGCCAATCAGCAATATTAAGTTCAAGCAAAAGTTAGTTCAGCCATAATAACTAAGAAATAGTTTCACCTAAAAAAATTGTTTATAAAAGTTCAGTTCAGCAAAAGAATAATAGCTCAGCAAAGAAATAAACCCTGCTCCATATTTTATATGGCTGCTAATTGGAATTTTCCATGATAATCACTATTGGCTTTGTTTCACTATTATTTTTCAGGGCTTTGTTTCACTTGTTATTTGTCTGTGATCAAGATGCAATTTTTTTTTTGTCATTATACATATAACTGTTGCAGCATGCTTTGTGCTCTATTTGATTAACAGCTGCCGTCATTGGCAATTGCAGGCGCAAGCAATTTATAGGATTGGTAAGGGTGCGGCACCTCCCATCCCTGATACTTTGTCCAAAGATGGTCGTGATTTTATCCAACAATGTCTACGTGTGAATCCGAATGATCGTCCTACAGCAGCTGAGCTCTTGGAACATTCATTTTTACGGAAACAGCTTTATGCTCCATTAGGCTCAGAGTCACCTATGATGCGCGGGAAATCAATTTGAGTCTGTTATCACTTGTGATTATTTTGTGGAGGTGAGTGCTTTTTAGGTTTTCTTTTAGTCTAGAATTCATGACATGCATGCCCACCGCTGTTTATTAAAGTATTAAATGAGAAGAAAAAATTAGCTAAAAGAGTATCCAACTCTTTCTGCTGATATCACCATTTTAGCAGTTGTATTTACAATGCTGCAACTCAATCAAACTATCTCACCCCGCTGGCATTTGGCGGTGGCGCTGAAATTTGACACATATTTTATTTGGGGTGTTTTGGTGGAAGGGTGGGTCTTGTCAAAATCTGAAATGTGGGATATCCACTCAAAAGATCAACCAATTTCGGACAAAGGCTTTTTAAAATTATTAATCATCTGCATGACCCACGATCACGGCATATTTCTAAGATCGAACAGTGAATATCCTGTCTCTTATTGGCCATCTGAGTATCATGTACTAAAGATCCTGAGAGTACGGGTTGTGGGCCTGTAGTCTAAATAGTATACCATTGTACTGGTTTCAGTTTTTGCATATTTGTTGAAATTTTGCAACGCAGAACTCGCTTAAAATACAGTAACTTTATCCTCTCCCACTAGTCTTGTGATATTTTACTCAAGAGAATAACTCATTTGCACTATCTGTTGAGGTTGTTCCTCTGGTTAATGAATGTTTCCTCCTTGATGGCAGATAATATGTACATCTGGAGTTGCAACGTGTTCAGCGGAGTGTATCAAATAATTAAGTGACGTATATGATTCCTGTATCCAAGATTATCCATCTGAAAGAAAAGAAAAACCCAAAAAGTCAGAGGGATCTCTGTACGCATCATCCTCTGGATGAGTTATTAAATGGTCCTGGATGGCTGGCTAGCCCCGCCAGCGTGCTTTGATTCCTACCTGGCATGATTCCAACTCCCTTAATTCCGGGATACTAAAAATGCAGAGGACAATCTGTAATATAATAGTCTAGTTTTTGGGGCTGTGTTTGTATCTGTGATCTGAAAATTAGCTAGCATATGATGATGGAATCTTGATTTATGAATGATAGTTTATTACTGTATGTAGGAAGATGGTTTAGGCTTTTGTATGTAACTAATTTTTTTTGTCAGGAACAGTTTGTACTCATTCATTATATGATTGTATCTCGTTCCTTCTTTTTTACTTCTTCAGCCAGTACTCATATTGTGTTCGCTTCTTTTGGAAATTTTATTTATATTTTTATTCAAAGAATTTTATATCCATTGATGACTTTCAACACCTACTTTTCTCATATTAAATTTTTTTGTGGAATTGGTTTAATACTTTTCTAGGGATTATTAAGCAAAGTTCTTACTAACAGGTTATTTAGCAAAGTTCAGCCATATTTTATATGTAATACGGAGTATTGTTTTATGATTTATATATCTATAGACTATATTTATAAGTAATAAGAGACGAAGAATTTATGTTTTACTTCATTCGTTCTTATTAGATTTATAAGATCTACAGTTGGACAATTAGTCACAGAAAATGCGTAGTTCTGGTTTGAGTTAATATATGCAATCACCCAATCAATCGCTAAATCATCCTAATCAAAGTTAGGCAGTGCCGTGTAGGTCACTACTGGCAACTAGGACTAGAGGTGTCAAAATCGAACCGACCCGAAAAAATTTATCCGTTTTGAATTGTCACCAATCCGATTTGATCCGAGAAATTTAAGACCCAAACCCGATTTGTAACCGAACTGAACTCAACCCGAATCCGAAGTTAACCCGATCTGAACTTAACCCGACACCGATTTGATCCGACCTGAACTCAACCCGAATCCGATTTGACCCGACCTGAACTCAAACCGAACCAATTTGACCCGACCCGTGCTCAACCCGATCCGAAATTGACCCGAAAAATAACCGATCTAATCCGATCTGTTTTGACCTGAACTGATATTAACCCGATCCGATTTTAACCCGATTTGATTTTTACCCGATCTGAATTTAACCCGATCATAATTAATTATTTACTTTTTTATTCAAGTTCTTATACTATATATTTACTAATTATTAATAAGTTAAATTTTTTACTACAAAGAAATAATCTGGAGTCTTAAGTTTACTTCATGTACATATCAATTATATTAATTTACTTTCTAAGCTTTAATAAATGCCACAAGATCTAATAAACCTAAACAATTAAGCGAGAGTTAATTGATTTGCTTGTAAAGCTCTAGTTAAATGCTGCCTAAAGCCTATTGTCATTTTTAATGAATTTCCTCCCATTCTGTTATAATTTATTGACCCAATAATAAGGTAAAAACTAAACAATATCTCTAGTTTAAAAATAACCTTATTTGGATATGAATTTGGTCAACTCGACCAAAATCCAGCCAAACATAAAAAGGAATTGAACCGAAATTGACCGAACCGAACTTGACCGAACCGAAATCAACCCGACCCAAATTCATCCGACCCAAAGTTACCCGACTAAACCCGTTTTAAACCCGAACCGGAAGTGAATCGATCTGAAGTTGACCCGACCCGTATCCGACCCGGACTCCATAGACCATGACCCGAAGTTGACCCGACCCGAATTTGACCCGATCCGAGTTAAAAGGATAATTTTGATCCGAACATATCCGACCCAAACAGACCCGACTCGAATAGGCCCGACCCAAACTCTATCCGGTTATCCGAATTGACACCTCTAACTAGGACTAGTGGTTCATATATAATTTATAAATGCTAAAAGTACAATTTTGCCTAAAGACCTTTATTAATACATTCGTAGTAATACTCTGTACTTGCTTGTCTGTCAATCCAAATTCAAGTTCAAGTTCAAGTTCAAGTTCTGTTTTAATACGGAGTAGTATTTGGAATAAAAGTCATATTGAAGGGTATATTCTAAATTTGTAATGTCCTAGTTTGTCATTTCACAAAGTATGGACTTGTTGAGTTTGTGAATTGCTTTCTCTCTCATCATTCCATCCATATTTCTCTCTCCTCGTAGATGGCGTAAAAATGTCACATAATGACTTTAATGAGGTGGTACAACTGCAACTAAAGTCTTACAAGCATCCAACTTCTTTTGGCTTTAGCATCTTTTTTTACATGTACTTACATTAATGTTTAACTCTTTAATTGAGCTATTCTAAACATTATATACCTCATCCATTACCATAAGTTTTTTTTTTTGTACTCTATGGTTTATCCTAATGAAATTATAATTGTGTGAAATTCATGACAAAATTTTTAGTGGATTGGTGTTCTTAATAGTTAATATATCTGCTTTTATTATTTTATAATTTTTATATACTACAATTCCGTATTAAATAAACCCTCAGAAACTTTGAGAGTGAGGGGAAGGGTAAGGGATTCCCATTCTCAAAGTGTCACTAGTGGGTATTGAATCCAACCTCAAGGTTGGAAGGTGACAATTTTACCACTAGGCCAAGCTTAATTTGTCCGTATTAAACAAATACTGGTAGCATAATTAAATAAAAATAAAAAAAGGTAGAATCATACAAAGTAGTCCCGTATATAGTTATAGTATAGGCATACGCAAAGTGGCGTGGTCACCTTTTTCTGGAACGTGAGCGAAGATCGGAGTTTGCCTATCAACTCTCTCCGCTCTTCCCTCTTCATTTTTATTTTTATTTTATCATTATTTTTTTATATTTATTCATAATCTCTTCTTCTTCTCTTAATCTTTCTCTCTCTACATTTCTCTCATCTCTCTTTCTCTCTCCTCTTCGATTGACGTCTTCGGACCAAATATCAGGTACCTTCTATTATCTCATTCTAGATTTCTAGGGTTTCATTTCCGTATCTTATTTTTCCGCGAATTTTGGCATTTTTTTTTGTTTTTGCGATCTCTATTTTGCGGTTATTCGCTATTACGTAATGAATTAATGATAGATGTGATTAATTGATTGTACTTCTTATATTTTGCGTTGAAAAGTGTGAATCTTTGTGAATTTTGGCGTTGATGAAGTTTGTATCGTTTCGAGGAAGTTTGCTGGGATTGTTGTTGTGAATTTGAGTGTGCTGTGATTGTTTTGGGCGTAATTGAGATCTTTGATTGATAACTCAACAAGTTATACTCTTGAAGTTCATCGTTTTACAGCGTAGTAAGTAAATTGCATCTTCTAGCTATCCATAGGCAAGCAAGGCCTGTAAATTGAGAATGTAAAGGGTCAAAATCTGTTAAGTTTGAGCTTTGATTAGGTATGCTTGGTTTTGTTTGTTGACGAGAAATGCTACCTCTCTTTTTATCTTTCTCGTGGCTGAATTGGGTGATTCAACTGGATTATGTAGAGGAGTTGCCTTGTACAATGTGTAAAAATAGTTTTGTTATTGTTTTGTGTGCAATTCTTCTATAATAGCTTCAACAATAGAAATTGATCGGATTTCACGGAGTACATTGCACTATTGCATTTATTATTTTTGTTAGGCGGTGCATCGCTCCTTTTAAAATATATAAACGCAGTTAAATAGCGTAGCTAACTGTTCTTCATTTCATGTAAAGTGACTTGGATAGATTAGATAGATTCATAGATTTATGTTAAATTTTGGTGCTTCTTTTTTTTTTAGATTTTTAAATTCCTGTTAATGCTGTTTCCCCTATGCCTTTTGACCTTAGAATTTCTGTTTTTGTCCTCTTCCACATATTTTAGCAACATTGTTGAGGTGGTTTGGATAGCCATCTGTTTTACAAAACCTTTTTATGAGCATGTGGTCATATGATATACAAAATGATACTTTGAAGATGAATTGGTGGCAACATGAAAAGCATAACAAATTTTATTTATCCTTATTGCTTTCTCTATGAATGATTTATATTTATGAGGCACGTGCAATTAGTAGAGTTATAATTACACGAATTTACTTAAGATCTATTATTTTTTGAACGGTACTTAAGATCTATTTATATGCCTTCATTAATGAGTTTTCCTTACATTTCTCTTCAAGTACGTTTGTAATGTGTCATTCTATGACATTATGGTTAGTTTTCATTGTTCAAGTTAGAATGCATCAATATTATTGTGTTTTCTTGGTTATAAAATTGTTGTCTTTGATGGGATGAATCCTATCTTGCTAAGTTTCTTGGTAAATGTTGCATTTCTTACTTCCTAACTTGTAATGTCAGATTCCCTAATAAACTCATTGATTTGTTTTTTTGAAAGACTAAACAAGCTTTTCCTTCAAAGTTCTTTTAAATCTCGCTTCCCTTTTTAAATCCATGTGAAATTTCTCAAAAGGTCATATTTTTTTTTTCAAAACTTGGAAGGTCCGAAAGTAGAGGAAGCTTAAGGGAGAATTTTTTCTTTGAAAGACCAACAACCCCCTTCCTCATGATTTTAGGAGTCTCAAATGATAGTTTTTCTCCAGAATTCTTCAAATAAACAAAACTAATTATGATTCCCTTTTATTTACTACCTCTATATATAGGAAAGATATTGACACTTTCTGTTTTTGTCTATTTCATGTAGTTCTTTGAAAAACCCACCACCTACAACCCCTTACTCCAGATCTTAAGAGTCTGTCTTACTATATTTACCTTTTTATTACACATTACTCATCACAGCAAGACTTTCTCTCCTATTGTCTTAAATTCTGTGCAAAGTTTTAAATCTTTTTGAAACAGAGTTAGTAAATATTTGTGTTAGTAAAAGCAGTTTTTAGATTTTAAAGCAAAATATATTGATTTATGGCTTTAGGCTTTGCAGTTTCATATATCTTTACAGTATGAAATTTGTAAGTAGCGCATCAGTGTTTTTGTGTTACATAGTTGTAAAGCCCATTAGTATGTTTGATTGATGTGAGGCAGTAGTATTTTTGTTTATGAATGTATTGCAATTGCTGGCCATGTAGGTTATTTTTGTTTTCCTGGTGGAGTTATGGCATTTATTAGTTGGTACAAGTAGTTACAAAGTATTTGCAAAGATCAATGTCTTCTGTTTAAATGAACTTTATGAAGTTAGATGACTGAATTGGGAGGAATTTTGGGAAACCCTTTAACCACTGTCTCTGGTCAATCAGAATCTGGACCTCCCATTGGTACTCAGCTCGCTGTTCTCATTTGTGAATTGTGGTATGCCTTTATTTTTGTATGTTGAATCAGTTCTTTTGTTTTCTTAAGCCTGTCTAATCACTGATGAAACCTTTTTTTGATTTTCTTTCAATAATGTGGTAGTTGTGGACCCAGATTGTTTAAGATGAGATACAACGTGCTATGAACCATTTTATTTTATTTGTGATAAATTAGCTTTGAAACAGTGTATCTGTTAACCGCGGAGCTAAGCTGATCATTGTAGGAGCCCAAACTTTGGTGGGGCTAATTGGACTCTAGGTCTAGCCTTGATGTGTTCCTTTTTTCTAATAAAGCGAAAATATTCAATACATCTAAGGTTTTATATTTTGATTATCTGAATAAGAGGGTTGTATCTTATATATACTGGTACATATTATTTATTGATTATAATCTTCTGTATGAGTTCAATATAAGTGCCTAGGATAAGTTTGGAATTTATAAAAAGGATTTTGAGAGCTAGTTTTGTACATTTTTTTGTAATGATATATGAACTTTTGTGACTGATCACACTGATGCTGTGATGGGATCAAATCTCGAAGTATATGTTAAGAAGTGAGCAGAGGATAATATTTGTCAATAGAGGGAATTGATACATGGCCTTCAAATCTGATCTAATAGTTTAATGATATGCTAAGTCCAAGATATTGAGTTGGACAGGATTTGTTGGTCCTTGGCTAATGGAAAAGATAAGAACATGAAACTTTTAAAGATATGAAGAGAGTTGCAGTAATAGCTTATTGGTAGACATGTTTATTTTGTATTTTGCAATTAGAGGCAGTGTCTGTTACCTCCTTAATGGCTTAGTAGGTACAACCTTCTTAACCAGAAAGGTTCAAAAGTAACTTTATGGTGTTGGTTAAAATAAGAGGGGGGGGGGGGGGGGGGAAGGAGGCAGAGTAGGAATACTGAGAATTTTAACCCATGATTCTCTGCTTTCATGGGTATGTAACCTGGGAGAGGGGGATAGCTTGGGGAATTCATGTTGCTGGGCTCTTTGGTTAAATATAATTTGTCTTGATTTTGTTTTTTCTTCAAGATGATAGGATGCGTTACTGTCATATCTAGAAGGACAATCTTTTATATATTAATCTTTGTTTTTTTCCTATTCAACCAATTTATGCTGCCAAAATGTGGGTAGGTTTTGGATGAAAGTTGTATATAATTGGATAGAGGCCGGGTGTTTTTGGTTTTTTGTTGTTTATTTTTGGTCAAATTGGTAATCAAATGTGGTACACTGGTTTGTATCATCATGCAATATATGTAGGTTCTATTAGTGTTTAACATCAGTATTCCCAATCCTCTCACTGTTCTTCATTGTGGTTTCGCTTATGGGTTAGCAACATATAAATGATGGATATCATCAAAGTCATCTCATTGCGATTCTGCTGGACTTGTTACTGTTATTCTATAGTTAGAAATTTGTGATGTACTAGTTATTGAGGCAAGTATACGTTTGATTTCATTTTTAAAGTTCAGTTGAGCTGTGGTCGGACTCATTGTTTATGAGAATAGAGTATCGATTTGTTCTTGAATCTGAAATTCATGTGAACTGTAGCAAGTATTATGAGGATATTGGATTGATGATTTGATTCAGAAACTAGTTTCAGGGTTTTGCTGACCCTGTAACAAATGTATTGATAATTTAGATCTTGTTATTTTCTGGATCTGCTGATTGTTACACCATGCAATTTTGTTTTATCAACCAACTTCTCATTCTCAAATCTAATACTACTAATATATATATTTATTTAGAGGAAATTGTTGCTGTTTGTATGCCAAAATTTATTGTTCTGTTGGCATTTTTTTAATTATTTATTATGAGGAAGTTTTTGCTGTTTGTATGCGACTTATTGTTCTGTTAGCATAGCCACAAGTCTTCGAGGATAGCCAGATGACAGCTGTTATTTTAATTAGTACAATTATTATCATTCTTTATGTGGAGTTCTTTCTTACGATTTCAGGTTTATTTATGGCGAAAGTTAGCAGGGTAAGGCGTCTGAAGTATAGATGCCGCAATGGCAAAACGGAACGATTGCAGGTTCCATCCTGCTCGCACAAGATCTTCAAAGACATGAAGAAGCCTTCTAAGCTTTCCGAGAAGAAAGATTGGGAGGATGCTACTTGCTCGGTTTGCATCGAGTCTCCTCACAATGCTGTTCTTCTGCTTTGTTCCTCTTACAACAAAGGCTGTCGTCCCTACATGTGCGCCACTGGCTATCGCTTTTCTAATTGTCTTGACCAGTATAAGAATGCATACGCAAAGGCAACTTCTGGTTCTATCACTCCTGACCTCAATGCTGAATGGCCTGAGGAAAAGATTGAAGCATCTGAGCTTCTGTGCCCCCTCTGCCGTGGGCAGGTGAAGGGCTGGACCTTGGTTGAGCCAGCTCGGAAATATCTGAACAAGAAGAAACGAACGTGCATGCAGGAGAATTGCTCTTTTGTTGGTAACTACAAACAGCTAAAGAAGCATGTCAAAAATGATCATCCTTGGGCACGACCCAGGGAAGTGGACCCGTCCCTTGAGGCAAAATGGAAAAGCTTGGAGAGGGAAAGAGAACTGAGCGATGTCATGAGCACTTTCTCCCCAGGTACTATTGTTTTGGGGGACTATGTTATTGATCCAAACTTTAACCCCTTCATTAGAGATTATAATGTGGATATGGAAGACTTGTTGGGCAATGATCTTGAGTCTTTTGGGGCAAGTAGAATCAGGAGCGGTGGATTCCAGTTGCACAGGACATCTGGGATTAATTACGAGTCATATGATGATGATGACGATGACGACGAAGATGATGACGATGACAATGACGGAATTCCTCGTAATTCAGCCTTTGGTAGAGGAGATGATATGATCCCACTTAGTCGGCATCATAGAAGAATGTTGTTTATGGGAAGGTCTCGTCGGAGGAGGCGGCGTGACTGACCTTTGTACAAAATCAGCAGCGCTCTTTGGTCCCCCCTAAAAAAACCCTGGCGAAGTGGTTTTGATCATAATTCAACTTCTACAATTGTTTGGGGGCCACATCTTCCAAGGCACTGCAAATGCAAGTAGAAGTGAATCTTTCCTTTGTTTATTTAAGGTGGTTAAATTGAACATATTGTGATTTTAGATACGGGTTTATAAATTTCTCTCATGTGATTTGGCCTTGTAGGGATAGACCTCGAAAACTTTGTTACCTGCCGTGTTTGGCGGGTCTCATTTTTAATGCCTGTTTGTGCATAGTGAACATTGACCTGTAGGATACATCGTTCAGGTACATTTGATTCTCTTTTAACACCAATCAAGGAAAATTGCTCCTGACCCTAATTTTAGTTTTCTAGTTTCTCTTTTCTCTTTTTAGTTAGCAGAAATCTTTGCAGGTTCTTCATGTTGGGGAGCCTTGTCTTTGATTAATTTGAACATCGGGTTTGTTCATGTGTACAGTTGTATTTGCGCTTTATGAATTATAAATTGTAATTGAACTTGAAATGTCGGGCAAATTATTTCTTGCACCCGAGCAGCTGGTTCAGTGAATAATTGATTTGTGCATCATGGGATGAGCCAGACCATGAGTGCCGTTGGTATAATTGATCTGGGAAAGTCAGCAACTTATTTTGTGCACTTGAGTGACTACCTGATGTATCCAGAGCACGGTACTCCTGAATCAAAATATGTCGCTGATGTATGGTACTCTTGGTTCAGTGACTGCCTTATGTATGCAGAGCACGGTATGAGCCAGACCATGAGCACCCTTTTGGATATATTGAGGCGCACAATTTTAACTTTTACAAACACTAAATATATATAATGCACGACTCAAAGTCACAAATTCACAATGTCATGTTTTGGCAAATCAAGTTTCATATAGATATTGACAGATATGTATAAGCTTTTTTTTAAGCAAAAATAATTAAACATCATACAAGGATCATTTTTGTTAAACATCAAAGTGTGTTTTAAAAATAACGAATAGTTTATGAATTATTGCGTAAATCTTGATATTGATCATCATTTCGATCAAATCCCCCTTTGCTGCACTTGCAACCACATGAAAATTGCTTCAACACAGAGCCCAATTTCTGTCAGACAAAAGAAAATAATGCAGCAATTATAAGAATTCATCATCAGATTCAGATAGTAGTCTAACCTTAAGAGATTTTATAAATCAAAATGTAGTCTAACCTTAGAGATTTTACTACACCTTCCCCTGCCCCGGCGAGGGTAAGGGGATGTTCGGTATCTGTTTTCACGGTCTTTTGATTCGACGTTTTCATAGTTCCATGCCTTTTTCTTTTCTCTACCAAATAATCTCCCAAAGGAGAATTTGAGTGCTTTTAAACGTGCAAACCATCTTCTTCTTCTCTACATAAAAATGTATTAACAATCAAATAATAATAATACCATGTACATCAATATAAATCTTCCAAGAAAAAATAAGAATCATGCACTAATCAAGTGATGTTGGTGATTACCTTGGGTTTATTGGGTAGATTTGAAAAAAGGGGCGAGTTATGGCTATGATGATGTTGAATCTGTTGGGAGCCCACATTTCGGAGGCGATGAGCATAGGCCAGGAGGTCGGCACGGCGGTCATAGCCGCATGATGGTGTGGTTGATTTAGGGGTGATAGTTCTAATCTTCCGAGCCCCAGAAGCAGAAGTAGATGATTCCTCATACACTGTCACTATAACACCATTAACACTCCATTTTTGTTGTTTTTCCAGCTTACCCATTTTTTCTGCCTGTTTTTTCTCCTTATTTTCATTTGTTGGAGTTTCAATCCAAGAGTTGATTAGCACTAAGTCTTATTTCTTTTAACTTAAAATAGGATCTTCCACAGTTGACAATAAATCTGATATTTCCATATGATCATAAATCAATTTAATGTACCCAGAGATTAATTTGGAAAGAAAATTAATTTTTGTAAAAAAGAAAAGAAAAAAAACAACTACTCCATTGGAGAGGGGCTTTTTTCCCTCTTTTCTTTTAAGTTTTAGTAATTTGGTCATCTTGGTCACAAAAAAAAAAAAAAAAAAGAGGTCATCATCAACTGATCAAGGTGACACCTTAATGACTAATCTCTTAAGGAATGTCCAACTGAAGCACTGACTCCAAAAAGGACAGGAGGAAAAGATCATACTAACTCAAATGGAGACAACCAACAAGATTAACTATAGCAATTTACATTTAAAAGTATGCATTGGTAAACCTATTTAAATTAAATGTGTCCATTGATATGAAATAGAGGAAGTACCTATTGTCTTATTATTTGCACGAACATTTTTTCAGGTGTATAGAGAGTTGTAGTGTGTAGTGAGATTTGATCCAAAAATTAAGGTACCACCCTAGTAATTTATTAATCAATTTAATTCGTAGCAGTTTTAACATATCGATTGAATCTAGTGAGTGCTTGTTTGGTTGACAACTTAACGGTATGCATTTGTTGGGAATGGAAATTTACAGGGAATACTAGTAATATTTTCTGATCCTTGTATGCAATGTGGCATGATTAGCACCAGTTCACCATTAAGGCCGCAACTCTGCAAGAGAAATTCCATCGATTTCTTGTTTGTAACTAGTGGGCCTAAAGACGACATTCAATGAAAGAGGAGGCCCGCTTTCCATTGCGCTTAGTCAGCGATCAAAAGCCCAATCTTATATCCTGAGCCCAAATCCAAGATTGAACAATATCAGTTCATCTTAAATTGCAAGAATTAGAATTCTGCTTGACTTAAAATCAACTAATTCAAAGGAGATATTTTTTTGAGCTGCACTTTTAGATTTTTTTTTCTTTTTTAAAAAAGTGACAACTTTTAGAAAAGATCTAAGAAATCCAAGGGCATGACGTTTATTGAAGGGTCATTTGCAATACAATATTACAAAAGTATTGCTGGACTGTTGGTGTTATAATATAATAGACGCAAAAAGTATGAATATTAGCACATATTTCTAAAACATAATTGTATTTCACTTTAAAAAATGGTGAAAATTTGGTTCCAATTAAAAATGAGTCGGATGAGAAAATTATTAGATATGCAATGTATAGATGTATAAAATAAAGGTTATAGATGCATTTTATTATAAGATATTCCTACTTCACCATCAAATGAAGAAAAGGAGTAATACCACTTATACATCGCTCCAAACTTGAATTAGATAGCTTTCAAAAATACAAAGGGAAGAGGGCCAGAAGAATGTTAGTGTCAACCTAATATATAGTGAATTTATTAAAATCTTATACTTTTTATTAGAGTTTGGTCGATACATCCATTTAAAGGATGACAATGGACCATGCTACATATATATTCCGTACTATATAACAACTTTTTTAGTTTTCTAAACCCAATAATTGATTGCAAAATATAAATTAATTGGACAATATTATAGTGTTCCCAATACAATGGAGATCGATATATAACAGTTAAGAGAAATTATTGGAAGTGCGAATATATAAACCTTGAAAATTAGGATAACAAATTGCTTCTATAAGCTCAATTATATAGAAGTTGCATATGATGATGAAGTTGATTCCAAACCCTAACGAATACTACAATATTAAGTTATATACATTGGCTGTGTTCTTGATCGGGCAACATCAGGAAATCAATTAATCAAAACAATATAAAGAGGAAGATGCTCCTCAGCAAGAAAAGTGGATTCTAGCGATCTATTTTTTTTTTTTTTTTTTAGTAAAAACCTAATTTATGTTCCAATTGCACTAATAATATTAAGAGGACTAATAATAGTACAAATGAAGTGAACGTGGTGTAATGCCTTTTCATTTTGTGCTACAATTTCTAATGGGAGTACATGATTAATTGGGAATCTTTTATAAAGGTGCAAATATTGTGTTTGACTGGTTCACTATTCTTACCTTTTTATTCAAGAAAGTATATATATAATTGTTTGGAGTGTTGTTGATTAAAATTTTAAAACCATATCAAGTGTAAAAACGATTTATTTACAAGGATTTATATCTACGATGTATTACAATTCACTAATTTCCTTAGAAAAGAAGAAGAAATTAAAATAAGGATTGTTCAGTGCTAGATATGCATAGACTAATGTGATTAAAGATACATATTAATTACGGAGTAACAAATAGAAAAGGTATACTTTTAAGTGAAATCTCTTTTTATAGTATCCATCTTTTCTTCTATTTGATATGTAGAATAATGTATGAATATTCTTATAAAGTTTGTGTCAATGATAATGATATATTGAGTACATATGGAATCTTGTAACAAACTTTCACACCATCATCCCATAAATGAAAAGAAGGAAGATTTTGGCACTTGTTCCTATCCCAGCCTTAAGAAGAGAGTTGAAAGTAATTCAAAATAAGAATAGACATGCATGTATTTTAAGCTATTGAATTACTTCTCAAATCAAACAACACATACAAAAGATTCATGGTTTATGTGAATAAATCCATCACAAAAAGTTGGGTACGAAATGAATATATGGCCTGTAGGCTATACTGTATACGGGCCACTGCATCATCCAATAGAAGGAAGGTTTTGGGATTCTATTATTATTTCTATCCATTAGTACTCTTTCTTTGGTCACAAAGCTAAAGGCATCCCATCACTCCATCAACTAGTCCAATTTGGGCAACTAGTCCAATTTGTTACATTAATTTTGCCCTAGCATGTTATACATGTCATATACTTCATATCTTTTAATTATGTGTGTATTCATCACCGACTTAGCTAATTATGTAAATTTACTAGTAGTATCTTATTTCAATATGAATTAGACAACTTGAATTCTCGACTTTTAAGGACATGTAACATCATTTTAGTGAGAAAGACCGAAAATTAAATCTTAGATAGAGTGAAGATGTTTTAAGTGAAAAATTGTTTTTAAAAATAATGTAATAAAAAAAATTATCCAACCTGGCATGACGTAGACACACAAGTAGTATTGAGCTAATATGGGATTTTGGATCATATCAAGAAAGATTTTGATTCCATCTAGTCCAAGTAGAGGTATAATATTTGTCCATTTCCTTGTGTTTGTTTGAGGTCCTAATTAATTTGGCATACCTAAGCAAACCAAGCTAAGGGAAGTATCAAGTTAAAACTATATTATTGAATGGAGAGAAATTACACAAGAAATTTGTATAGTATAATGTTTTTGGCGACAGCTGAATGAAATTTCCTAGTGAATTAGTGATGAAGAAATTTCCTGAATTTCTGTCGAAATTGCTAAATTTGTAAAGACAGAGCACACTTTCCATTAGCTAGCTATAGTCCATATGTTACCCTACAGTACAATTCAACAACCAATTGAAATTTCAATTTGATTAGTTTTTTATTTATTATTTATTTTTTTAATAATGATTTAGACGTTTGTTGCAAAAATGTAAAATTTTAGCAAAATTTGGTGTAATGCCTTAAGGATAAACTCTGGTATGATAAATACCCTCAAAAGGAAATGGTAGGAATATAATGGGTTGAGAATTAGGAGCCATTCAAAAATTTGAAAGCCAATTTAGTTTTGTATGTAGTTTCATTTTCCTCTTAACTTTTGGGTAGGTGTTACATGCTTACACCACATTTTTCCACAAGAAAAGGAAGTTATATATGAAGACCATCATTTTATTTATCTTCTCCTTTCCTATGAAAGTGCCCAATGTCTTTGGAAAAGTTGTTCCTTTTTTGTGATATTTATTAGGATAGGATTGAATTTTTAAATGGCTAGTCCCCCCCCCCTCCCCTTTCCCCTTCCACATAACTATGATAAATTGATAATAAAAGGATTATTAGGTTAAAGATCAAACCCGATTATATTTTATGCTCCATTTATATATTATAAATTGAAGTATAATTTTATAAATTATAAAATTATATTTATGTTTTTTTTTTATTTTTTTTTGTGTAGAGTCTATTTATATTCATTTATCATAATGTCAAGAGCTGACAACAAAATACAGAGTAGTTTATAAGAAGATTAGTGAGTATTTTGAATTCTCTACATTATATAAATGATCAAATAATGACAATGCTCAAAACCATTATAATATTAATGAACATATTGTATGTTTGGTGTGAGTGAGAAAATAAAAAATGCATCGTATGTTAAGAGACGTATTTTTTAGTAAGATGTTTGTGGTTGCTTAAAAAAAATTAAAAAAAAAGTAAGATGATTATTGTGGCTTCTATATAAGTTTAGGGGGGATTTTAGATGATTAATAAAGGTGGACAAATTGATTCCATATACTTGCAGCTAAATCATAAATATATGCATAGTCCATAGAGTTGCATGTGAATGGGCCAAAAGGTCGGAGTATAAAAAAGGAGCAAGGGAAACATAAAATCTTGCTTTATGCTCGGTGGGATATATATTTTCCATATATTAAATGAATCCAAATGCTCTTTTTTGACCAAAAGCAACCATATTTATTGTATTTTGTATAAAGGAATGTAATTAAAATAATAATAAGGAGTAATAACAAAATAAAACAATTCCTAGCTACCTTATTACAGTACATTTTCCTATTAAACTTATCAACGTATTGATTTAGATTAGCCATTTTAGTAAAAGGCTAGGGGTACACTAAGTGTACAAGATTCCTTTTGTACACCACCAATCAAAAAACGCCAACTCAGCAATGTAATTATGGAAACAAAAAAAAAGAAGAGGGAAAGGGAAAAAAAGAAGAGGGAAAGGAGAGTGGCAAAATTTTCAGGTTTAGCTCCATTGTGAGGAAGGTGGGCAGCAAAATTTTCAATGGGCGGCAACAATTAATGCTTCCATTAATGAATAATACACCATTAATTTTCCAATTAAGCATCAAAATTTCCCATCTTCTCCCCCAAAATTTCATCTTTTCCCCCAAAAATTCCTTGGTGAAGAACACATCCAATTTGAATAAGGGAACGAATTATGAAGAAATTATTCAAGTGTGGATATCAATTTCGGAAATCAGTTACAAGTATTCGCAGGTA